GACGATCACCTGTGGGTCCGGGTTCTCGTGGCCATGCTCGATGAGGCCAACCAGCGGCGCGCCGCTGCGCGCCAGCGTATTCACGTTCATGGAGCCAGGCACACTCGCGGTGCCCGTCTATGGTGGACAGGGTCCACCCTCCCTGATGGTCGCATTGAAGAATTCGTCGAGGACTTCTGTTCTCCTCTCCGCGACTTCTCGCATGACTCCCCTCGCCCGTCCGCTGAGTCCAAATTCACTTACACCTTCGCAGACATCGACAACCGGTCACTTCCCATGGGCTACTGCTGGGCGCCCGAGAAGGACCAACATTGGACATCATCCCCCGTTTACACTGGTTTCGTCTGGGACCTCGCCATTGGAACCGTCGCCTTGGAGCTTAAGAAGCGGGACAAATATGTCTCCGTCCTCAACCTCTTTCTCATCACACCCGCACCCGCTCACGACCTCCTTTCCATCCAAAGCTTGTACGGCAAGCTCCATCATGCCAGTCTCATCATTCCAGATGGACGTTCTTACCTTACTGGACTGGAAGTCGCTCTTTCCAATGGAGCTGACCGTCCTCACGTTGCCCGACACCTCCCGAAGTTCGCGCGAGAGGACCTCCGATGGTGGCGTCGACGACTTCTACACGGAACCCTCTCCCGTCCCATCCCAGTCCCGGTTGAGGTTCACCACCTCCATGCCTACTCCGACGCGTCCTCCGGCATTGGAGTCGCCATCGTCATCTTCGGACGTTGGCGAGCATGGCGCGTCCTCCCCGGGTGGGACACAGACGGTCGACACATCCAGTGGCTCGAGGCCGTTGGCTTCGAGCTCCTCGTTCTTGGACTTCTACGACTCGGCGGCTCACCACCACACATCTCAGTCCATGGCGATAACTCCGCGGTTATTGGCGGCTGGGCGCGCGGTCGACACCCCAACCGCTGGGTCAATGACTGCTTCCGCAGGCTCCACGTTGTCCTTGCCTCCGCGGGGGTCACCATTCACACCCACTACGTCGAGAGCGCCTCCAACCCAGCTGACGATCCCTCCCGAGGCATCTACGGCCCAACAAGTTGCCTCCTCCCACCCATTGACATTCCAGAGAGCATCGCGCAATACTTCGTCGACTGGGACGCTGCCCCTCATCCGCAGGAGCCCTCAGCCCAGCGCACACCCCTACCCAAGCCCGAACGCTCCGTTGAGCATACCAGTGGGAGCCTCTGCGATGCGGAGCACACCGCAAGCGTCTTGCTTGACAATCCCGCATTCTTCTGGGATGCCATCGACTCGCTTTAATTGTGTTTTGCCTCCACGCCCCACCGTCACTCCCCGACCTTATGCCGCCGACCTCTCTCCCCAGCCTAACCCTCACCGGCCTCATGTCGCTGCGAACCAACGTCTCACCTCATGGTCACCCTCGTTCCCTTTTTCAGCAGCCGACGAGCCTGGTTCCTCGTCCGTTGATGAGCGAACTGCAGACGTTCTATCTCGTGGACTCGACTCATTGACTGCTACGACCTATGGGTCAGGGCTTCTTCTGTTCCACGTTTGGGCAGATATCCACTCTGTCCCCGAACAACTCCGTGGGCCTGTTCCGGAGTCAGTTCTTCTCGTCTTTTTGTCCTCTCTTGTCGGTGCATACTCCGCCTCCGCAGTCCGCAACACCTATCACGCAATGGAGGCTTGGCACGTCATCTGGCAGTTGCCTTTCTCGTTCAACCCTCACGCACGCTCGCTTCTCCTGCGCTCTGCTGCGGACAACGCTCCTGATACTTCTAGCCGGTCTCGACGCGCTCCTTTCCTTCTTCAACATCTCGCTAGGCTGTACCCCCTGTTCGACTCCTCCTCGCTCGATGTTGCCTGTCGTGCAGCCCTCTCCACAATCTTTTGGGCCACTGCCCGAAATGGAGAGTTCCTTCTTCAGCAGCAACATAGGTTCCTCTCCAAGCAGCACGTCCAAGCATCTGACGTCCGTTTCGCCGCCCAAGTGGACGGATCCATTCTGTGCACCATTCACTTGCCGCACACCAAGACACACCGTTTTGATGGAGAAGACGTCTACTTCGCATCACAGCCGCAATTCGACCCTGTCGCTGCTCTCTGCGCGCATCTCGACATCAATGAGCCTGGTGTCAACGAGCCGCTATTCACGCACACCGTCAGGCAATCGCGCCGGGGGCTCACCTTGACCGCGTTCACAAGGCGCATCAAGGCCCTTGCTGCGGAATTCGCTTTTGGCACTCCCACTGGACACAGCCTTCGCATTGGTTCCCTCTTGTGCTACGCCTCAAACGGCTTCTCCCTCGCCGAATGTATGGTGAAAGGGCGCTGGGCATCCCAGCGGTCCTTCCAGCTATACCTCCGCAAACACGCGGACGTCCTTCAACCGCACCTCATCGTGCTGCCACACGTCTGGGACAAGGTTCAGCGAACCATGATGCAGGTTCGTCGCCTCACTCCTGTCTCTAGCGGGAGCCGTCAGCTACGCTCGACGCGTCACTCCGCTCCTGCCCTAGACGGGACTCGTCGCTCACCTTCCGTCTCCCACAGAGCCAGAGCGAGGTTGTGCCTCAGAGCGCCGCTAGCCCGGCAGTCTCGACGCACGGCGCACGGGCGGGACCAAGCCTCGCGCAGTAGGCCCCGCCTCGCTCGCGTGTAGGCCCCGCCTCGCTCGCGCCTAGGCCCCGCCTCGCTCGCGCGTAGGCCCCGCCTCGCGCGCTGCATCGTGTCGGACCCGCAGAGCACGCGGGCGCTCTTGGCTCGTTTTACTACATGCACCAGTGTACCTACATCACATGATTCTACATCCACTTCATACAAATCAGGCGCGCACGTCCAGAGCTGGACGCCGTAGACGGCCGACTGTCTCCGGGGCTCTTCAACCTAATCTTCAACCTCGCTCGCACTGGTTTTAACAGCGCTCCGCATGGCTAGACGCAAAGACGGCCCCGGAACCACGTCATATCGCATTGGTTCTACCTCTGCTCCGGCTAGAGATTTGTTCCCAAGCGTCATGTTCATGCCGGAAGCATACATCTCCCATCCCACCTGCTAGCTATGTGTGAGCGTTCCAGTGATCCTCCTTGTGAAATTACTTCATCTCAGGCTTCCGGTGAGTTTCTCTGTGTCTCTTGCTTTCAAACCCCTCCAAACCCACTCTCGACTCTCCAATTTCTCCAACACGAGTCACCGGTCCATCCGGGCCGTAGGCGCACTTTAGCGTCCCTCGGCTGGTACGACAAAATGGACGGGGCTCTCGCTAACGGCCCTGTCCACTCGTGCAGCGTGGATCACGTTCAAGCGCAGAATGTGATACGAGTTGAGCGCGAGCGTGGGGGTTGGCGGTATGTTGTAGTCCGTTTAGTTTTCACGGGAGGACGCTGCAGGTGAGACTCCGCGTGTCTAAACACTCGTTACTTATCTGTCAGCACGTAGAGTGTGCTTGCATTATGTAGATCGGTCCATGTATGATATAAGAAGACTTTCCTCTTTTCTGGATTCTGGAAAAAACCCGCCAGCCTGACACAGCTCAATGACGGACACCCTGGCCGCCGGACGCAAGAACAGTGAGCGCTATTTGCTTTGTCTGTTTCGGGTGTTCTGTTGTGGCGCGGAATGATGGCCCCGGACATGTCTCAGAATCGCCCAATCCATAACGTGCGATTGCATCAGATGGCTCCGCCACCATCCATGCACATTGCAGTATAAAAGCACCGGGAAAAATAGGAATGCTTTCCGCAGTCTGTCCTCTCCTCTACCTCGCTGCTGCCATCATGATCGGAGTCAGAAAACGCCATCGTTCGGGAAACGCGCGGGTGTGGTGGTCTAGTGAAGCCGTGGTCAAGCCTGCCCGATTTGTTCGATGTACCTCTGTCTCTTCGCGGTATGTGACTCATGATGAACTCTGAGTAAGGCAAAGGACCGACTGTAAATACACGAAGAGGAGCGATCCTCAGTCAGTGATAGAACGACTATATTGAGGGCATAAGTAGTACCTGTAAATACACGAAGAGGAGCGACTACAGATACAGTAAGCATATGTGTAAGGAGCGCATAAGAGTGTAGGTACTTACTCCTCAGTCAGTGATAGAACGACTGAAGAGCAGTGCGAGCCAGAGTCCTCCCTATATACTGTCCAGGAGTAGCATACGTAAGCAGTGATGGGAAGACATAATTGGCGCAGAGAACAGACCGGACAGAAGATGGTTACAGGGCTGTGCGGGCTGTGCGCTCAAGACAAAGAAAGTCCGTAAGTGGAACAAGGGAACAAAGAGAGAAGCGTAGAAGAACGGAATGGAAGAGATAAGGAACTACAAGGCAGTGAAGTGACATATGGAACTATGGGAAGTCTCTCACAGAGTCCATGTGGATGCGTAAACTGTCCTAATGTACGTATGTTCGATATCCAATGTTCAACAACTCATGTGCATGCTCCTCTCGATCTGGTTCTACATAACTGCCGCTCACAAAGATGCTACCTCCAGCGGCGCCCGGTCGGTCTGCACTGCGTGCGACCGCCGGGGCCGCGCGGAGCCAAAGACCCACCAGGGGCGAAGAATGCGCGGAAGATGTGTGGTAAGCGACAATTCACGAGTCCTCCGCACCGCACGTGCCACAGAGCGCACGAACCGTTTCGAATGTGAGCACCCTCTGCGGCAGTTGGCACGGCGGCGAAGGGCGGCGACCCGAGATTGTGCGCAGCGGCGGACAGTGGCAAATCTTCGCTGGCGGGCGCGACCACGTCTGCGTGGACACGCGACGTTCGGACTCCAATCTCGAAGCTGTGCCTCGTGAGCGCGCGTGAACCCTCCGGCGCGCGGTCCTCCTCCTCCTCTCTCCGACGTACGCATCCTTCAGTTCGATGCGCGATCGGGCGGCAGCAGCCCACGTCACCCTGCTTCCGTGATGCCGATTGTCGAACGAAACCGCTCAAACTCAAAGATGAAAGTTGATGACGTGAGACTACGACAACTGAGTGATACGCTATGATACAGGTTAATACCCAAGACCGATGCTTAAGCCAGGTGAGGCTCGTGCTCCGTACCGCGGCTGGCGTTCCACACACCCCCGTCCGTTCCCTGTGTTACCCGCACGTTCGTCAACCGCACGCAAGTGTGTCATCATCAGCGTGCACACCTTCTGGTTGTTGACGCGCATGTTCTTCATCCGGCGCGTGAACCACTCGTGAGAGGTCGGTGCGAGGTCGAAGATCTCGCGCAGGTGTGGCGGCGCGCGGGCGACCGCATCGGCGATGATCGCGCTTTGATCTGCGAGCGGGGCCATCTGGACGCTGTCTCCGGGCCGAGTGAAGTAGACGAGCGAGTATCGCTCGTATCGCGCCTGCTCTCCAGGAGGAGGTCTGTTCAGAGCCGAGTCAGTGGAGATAGGGTGCGCGTGTGACGGGAGGCTTACACAACGCGGTGGAGGTTGGACCTGAGAAGGCCACCGCTGAAGATTGTCAGCGCATCTCCGACGTTGCAGATCGCGTGGCCGGGAATGGGCTGTATCGCGGCGAGACGGCAGTCGGCTCGATGACGCGATAATGCGATGGGGAACCCACCTTGACATACTGCCACGTCCGCGTGCCAGGTACCATGACCTGCAGCCCCCCAAGGCGGTTGTGCAAGAACGACAGGCTGCCAAAGTCGGTGTGAGCGGCGAGCACCGCCTTCGCTTCGTCGATGCCCTCGGACAACTCGCGCGGCGGGCCCCGCGTGACCCGTGCCTCGCTCCCGCTCCACTCGTCCCTCCGATGCCTGCTCGCGAGCGTCCCGCGCGGCAGCCCGAGCCTCTCGTTGAGGATCCCGAGCATCGTCCCGTTCACCTCGATCGCGCGCCGGATGAAGGGGCCCACCGCGTCGCCCATGCGCGCGTTCACCGGCGCGGGGTAGGTGCGGCGCGCGACCGCGGGCCAGGCGAGCGCGTCGTCCGCGGCGACGTTGAAAAACTCGGTCGTGTCGCGCGCGCCGGAGGCGTCGGTGAGCGTCGCGCCGGACGCTTTGTACCCGAACGAGAATCCGGAGTCGCCTTGCTCGAAGGCCATCTTGTCTGCGAGGGGGAGCGCGAATGTTGCGGCGCCGGTGTCGAACATGGCGTTGACCGCGGCGTCGGCGCCGTGGTTCTTCAGGCTGCGAAGTGTGGTCGTGGAGGCGACATACAGGTATGGGAGAATGAAGGCGCTTACTACCAGAAGCCGAGCTCAGTTGCCGCCTTCCATAGCTTGTCGATCTCAGCTTCGTCGTGTGCCTTGAGAAGCTCGTAGTCGACTACGAGCAGGGGATGGGTCGGGATGTCTGCTGGGAATGGTGGGAAAGCCGTGGCGTGAGGCATGTTGAGAGGAGGATGTATGGTCAACGAAGCTGATGATTGTTGGGACGCATCGCGCGTTTTGTCCGCAATATATATACAGGCCCGGCGCTGCTGGTAGAAAACGTGTCGAGTCTAATATCGCACCCTCCGATCGACGCTTCAGACGGACCAGCCTTCCACGATGGCGGCTTCTCGTGACCTCGTGTGCCGTTCTAAGGGAAGGTTGAATATGGAGGCGCCAAGAACTGACCCTCGGACCCGTGGCGCGGGAAAGGTTTCCCCCGGTTCATGATCTGGAGCACGCGACCTCGGAGGCACAGTTAGCTCAGCTGGCAAATTTGCATGGGTTGATCCCGTACCGATTTCGACGTGTACAAGACATGATAGCACAGAGGGTGAAATTTGATACGAGTCCGTAAGATGTTGTTACTTTGTGTCAAGAGCCTCACAAGGAAGTTAACGAGGGATCGATCTACCTTTGGATCGGCGTCGGATCCATCTATCATCAAATCTTCTCCGCACACACAAGAAGACGTAAAATACCTTGAGATTAGTAAGTTCCGTGACTCTCTCTTCCTGAACAGCTCGTCGGCGTCGGCGGAGAAGACTTCTCCGCTCTGGGGAGCCTTCATGCCTCGCGCCCTTTGCGCGGCCTGCCTCATTTAATGTGTGAGAATGAAGACCAAAGGCAATCGTCTCTCGTACCCCCGTTGCGCATTTGGACGTGTGTCGCATAGAAAGAGAGTTAGAGGTCCGAAGAGTAGTAGGGGATGAGAGAACGCGCGTCGCGGGCGGACTCGACGGGAAAACTGCGCGAGGCCTGGGCGCTCGGCGCTCGGCCGGACGTTGGGCTCGGCCGGCACCGGCACAGAGCACGTCGCCGGCGAGCGCCAAAGTCCTGGCCGGGACACGGCGTCATCAACGGAGTTGCGGAACCAGTTTGGAACCAGTCATCGACAACCTGCGGTGCATATTCACGCCCATAATGAAGTAATGAGAGTTCCGAACTTCAGGGGTCGGAGAAAACGCATACGAGTGGCACACATACGAGACGAGGCGAAGAGCATCAGAATCCAAAGATAGTGATCACCGAGAGTCGAGACGGTCGTCACGTACAACTAACACTGGGACACAGTGTCGCACTTTGAGCGCAAAATTATTGTGCATGCGCGCAGCCTTCTCTGTAAACCGAACTCTGGTAAGCATGTACGTATTCGGATTCTGGAGCGTGGCCGGCGGAGCGTGCGAGCACAACTCACCTAGTGACTAGTGGCATACTCCTGCGTGTGTGGTGATGAAAGACAACAACGTTAGTTGGAGAGCGCATCAAATGAAACAAGGCCCGTCTCACCGCGTTCTTATTTCCGATGCGACTAGTCTTGTTTCATATGTTCGGGAATGGATATTCAGTCGGCTGGTGTTGAGCTGGTTGTCGTGAGGCAGGTGACCGTGTCAGAGTGACTCACGGGCCAGGTAGAATACACACGATTGAATAATGGCATTGGCTACGGCAATAAAGCCTCGAGCGGGAGTGACGGAGGGGCGGGTTGCGGTGTACTGCGGAGAAGTCCGTGAGGGCGGAGGCGGCGGAGGCGGAATGGAAGTGGCTGAGTCAGCGCCGGGCACTGCCGCTGGCGGAGATCAGCTTCGGTCAGACGCCCGCGGCACGACTCTTTTCTGCGCTCATCCGCTGGCAATTCCATGCTCCGGCTGCGCATTTCAAGCGAAGCAAGTCTTCTCGTTTCCGCAGTACACTTCATGAACGACAACCAGTGCTTACATCACGACCGAAGTGAGTGTTTTGTGCGGATGAGACCGTCATGCCCACGACGCACGCTGATGTGATGGTCGGACGTAGACTTTGTGTCTCTGTTGCTGGATTCTCTTTGGTAGAAGACTTTTTGTCCGGAAGGCATGACGATGCCGAACCTATGGCCTGGTAAGTACCACCCAGCGCGACCGATACTCAACACGGAGCCCAGGAATTACTGGCAAGTACTTGATCAGGCCTCAATCGCATCACGGACAAAACATGTCTAGGGTCTGCGCGCGCTGGGGAATGACGGCAGGCAAACATTTACGCACGATGCCCGCGATCTTGATTCAATAGCGAACCCTCTTCTCGACCCCGACGGAGCCAGCTTTCGTGGCTACGCGACAGGGATGCGCGCCAGGTAGAGCCTGCTTCCGCCACGGCCTTTGGAGATTGGCGCAGTACTTCGTAAAGGCATCGCCAAGGCCTCACATCGCATATAAGCCGCACGAGCTTGTCCAACGTTCCTCACCAACACCAACTCACCTGGTCTACTCCCTTCTCCACACCCACCCGACCCCGCATTCTTTCAGTTCTTCTCGTCGGGATGCCTCCTCTGTCTGCTACCTTAAGCTCTTTAATCTCGCTCTTTGCGCTCGTTCCACTCGCGTCTGCCGCCATCGGTCCCGTCGCGGACTTGACCATCAGCAACGCCGACGTCACTCCCGATGGCCACACTCGCGCCGCGGTCGTGGTGAATGGCGAGATGCCCGGCCCGCTCATCACCGGTAACATGGTATATCTTGTCGTCCTCGTCGCACTGCTTCCCCGCTGACTTGGCGTGCAGGGGGACAACTTCCAGCTGAACGTCGTCGACAACCTCACTAACGCGACGATGCTCACGGCAACGACCATTGTAAGCACGTCCAATATATAGGGGATACGCACCGCGTGCTGACGATCGCGCTATGCAGCACTGGCATGGATTCTTCCAGAGTGGCACCAACTGGGCCGACGGCCCCGCGTTCGTCAACCAGTGCCCCATCTCGGCCAACAACTCGTTCCTCTACGACTTCACCGCGACCGACCAGGCCGGCACGTTCTGGTACCACAGCCATCTGTCGACGCAGTACTGCGACGGCCTCCGTGGCGCCCTTGTCGTCTACGACCCCAACGACCCTCACCTGGACCTGTACGACGTCGACGACGACTCGACGGTCATCACGCTCACGGACTGGTACCACACCGCGGCGGCGCTCGGCTCCCGTTTCCCGTGAGTACTCTGTTGCTCTTAGTCCTGCCCCGCCGCTCATCATCCTTCTACTCAGGACGGCCTCGGATGCGACGCTCATCAACGGTCTCGGGCGCACGACCAGCACTGAGGGCGCGAGCGCGAACCTCACCGTCATCACCGTCACGCAGGGCAAGCGCTACCGCTTCCGTCTCGTCAGCCTCTCGTGCGACCCGAACTACACGTTCTCGATCGACGGGCACAACATGACGGTGATCGAGGTCGACGCGGTGAACCACACGCCGATCACGGTGGACGAGATCCAGATCTTCGCGGGCCAGCGGTACTCGTTCGTGCTCACCGCGGACCAGGACGTCGACAACTACTGGATCCGGGCGCTGCCCAACGCCGGCACGACCTCGTTCGACAGCGGGGTCAACTCGGCGATCCTGCGCTACGACGGCGCGGCGGAGACCGAGCCGACGACGGAGCAGGGCAGCGACCTCGTCCTCCTCAGCGAGACCGACCTCGTTCCGCTCGAGAACGTCACGCCGCCGGGCACGGCGGAGGTCGGCGGCGTCGACCTCGCGATCAACCTGGAGATGAGCTTCAACGGCAGCGCGTTCTTCATCAACAACGAGACCTACACGTCGCCCACCGTCCCCGTCCTGCTCCAGATCATGAGCGGCGCGTCGTCGGCGTCCGAGCTCATGCCCAACGGCTCGATCATCGCCCTTCCCTCCAACTCGTCCATCGAGATCTCGTTCCCGATGACCGCAGACGCGCCCGGCCAGCCGCACCCCTTCCACCTCCACGGCCACACGTTCTACGTCGTGCGCTCCGCGAACTCGAGCGACTACAACTTCGTCAACCCGCCGCAGCGCGACACCGTCTCGACGGGCACGACGGGCGACAACGTCACGATCCGCTTCGACACGAACAACCCCGGCCCGTGGTTCCTCCACTGCCACATCGACTTCCACCTCGAGGCCGGGTTCGCGGTGGTCATGGCGGAGGATGTCGCGGAGGTCTCGTCCTTCGTATCTCCCTCGGACGCGTGGGACCAGCTCTGCCCGACGTACAACTCGCTGTATACCAACACGACGTCGTGAGCTCGCGCACGTACGTCGCGACCCCCCGCTGCCCCCGCGCGTTCGGCGACGGTGTGTAGGCCTCGCGTCTCGTCTTGGTTCCCCGCGCACGAACGCATTTTCTTCTTAGCTCCCACATAACGTACCCACACGAGTGCGCGTGCGGACGGCGCGCCATTTCCTAGTAGTTCCTAGTTCCTTCCCCCTCCGTATCGCCTTCCGGATCCCTCGCCCGCCCCTCGCCTCCCTCCCTATGGACCAACACATATCCTCTACGCTAGCACGCTCTGTTTTGTGGTGTGGACTAGCGCTACTGTCTTTTGCCGTCGTTGTCGTACATACCCTACTACCCTGCACGTGTAGCATCGCGCTGCGATCTAGAAGTTGTGCATAATCATCCTCCTTCTGTGTGAACAAGCTCGGGCTTGACATCCAAGTTCTGTGGGATGGGATCTTGTGGAGTCCGTGCGCGGTTCGCTATCGACAAACTCTTACGGATGAACCAACCACGTTGAGGCGGCCTCGCCCACGCGCATGCGAACTCCATCGGCGGCGTGGTGTGTCGTTCCGTCCCGGAGAGCGCGCGCCTTCGCTCGCGGAAACCTAGAAGATCCGAGCCTCCATTCCATCCGCACGCGGGCGCGAGTCCATCGACCAGCGCGACGGAACTCGCGTCGTCCTGGAGGGGTCGTCCACAAGGCGCAGACGCAGACAGGAAGACAATTGCGAGCGGAGCGCCGTAGTAGGGATCGACGGCGACGGACGCTTTCGTTCGTAAGTAGGTGCGTGGGTGCGTGCACGGGCCGACACGGGGACGCCAGATTGGCTCAAGCGGGCCCCCGCGCGCGGAGAGCCTTGGCCGCGACCACGAGATTTGACTGCGACCACGCGCATGGAGGGGGTGGCCGCCACGCGTGCGCCCTCTGGTCGCGCGCGTCGAGGCGATCTGCCACCCGCGAGCGGCCAGATCGTCATCGCTAGCTCCAGATCGTGGGTTGCAGAGGGCAGATTGGGGGCGAGACTGGAGAGAGAGCGAACGTTATCGCGACGTGTGGGAGGGCGTCCTGGGGTGGGCACCCTTCTGTGGGCTGAGTGCTCCGGAGTGTGCTGAGTCCGCCGCGGGCGCGCGCGCACACGCTCGGCGGGTTGAGACCGTATGCATTTGTGCCACATAGGCTAATCCCGCTGCGAATCCCGCTGGGGCGGCAGCTGCAGCACTTCTGTGGACGCAGAACGCGTATCGCGGAGCGCGGATATGCGAAGGTGGACGGGCGTGCGGGGAACACGAGGAACGAGGGGTCTTTCCAGATGTTCCCACGAGCGAGACGCACGATTGGGCGGCGGAGGGGGGGGCGTATCGGGAAGAGGAAGGAAGGCCACCGCAAGGCCCACACGGAAAAGATCAGCCAGGGCCACCTGCTGCAGGCTGCTCGCGCTCGTCGCGCGATTCCGCGGCGGCGAGAGAGCTCCCCCGGGGTCGACCTCGGCCGAGTTTGGCTTTGGGATCGGTTGACGCGACGAGCGATCGGGCGCAGGCGGCAGTGCGCAGCTACGAGGGTCGCCCACAGACGGAGGGGCGGCGGCGGTCGTCCACGGGAGCGCGTCGTCGGGGCGCGGATCAGCGCGCAGTCAACGGGCATGATCCGCGCCCGCCTCGCGCTCCTGGGGCCCTGCTTGTGCGCGGCGGCCAGAGCGTGCGGCGAAGGGCGCGAGAAGCGGAAGGCGGGAGCGCCGCGTGCTCGCTATCAGGGGAAACCACGGGCGAGAAGAGGGGCGCGGGCGCGGGGAGGTGGGAAGAGAATGCGCGGCGCCCGCGAGACGGGGAAGGTCGGCGGCGCGAGGAGGCGAAGAGAAACGGGCTCAGGGACAGCGGCCGTGTGCGATGGAACGTTATGTGCGGCGTATTCCGCATACGAGGACGCGGCGGTGAAGTTGCGGGCCCCGCGCAGGTGCTGGGAGCTCCTGGTCAAGCGTGCGGGTGTCAGAGAGAGCACTGGACGGGCAGTGTGAGGGCCGCTGCCCGTGCAGCCGCTACCGCATGACGGCAACCTGGAGGAGATCGCGTGCGTCGGCTGCTGCTGCTGCTGGAAGGCCGGGAGAGCATAAACGGGGTGCGTGGGCGCGCCTGGGGAGGCTTCTCCCGCTCGACATCGGCGGCATCGCGCTGCGAGGATCCCCACATGGGTCCAATGAGGGTCAATAGGACGGAGCGCACCGATCCGCCGCGCCTGTGTTCTACAACCGTTTGCATTTGAACCCAGAATCGCGCGTTTGAGGCTTCGTTTATTTGGTTCCTCCCGATTTCGTGCCGAAAAGGAAGCCGAGAAGTTGCCGGCGCATTGAAGAAAGGGAAAATACGTGCAGAATCACTCACGAGTGGACCGACATGTCGGAGTGCGAGCAGACCTGAATGAACGTGCTCCACCTAGCAAACTTTCTGACCAGCACTTTGTAGCATACCCACGTCCGATCACAAGGACTGGTGCAATACTCACTCCACGATCGCGTACGGTCTGGCGCGCCCTGGCAGTATCCGCACACGGCGAGCGTAGAGTAGAGGACGGCGCTGCAATAGCACTTGTCTGACATCGACGGGCCGGCGTAGATTCCGTCTTCCGCGAGCGAGTGCAGCTCGTATGACGAACCGTGGTTTGAGTCACGCAAACAGATCAAGTAGAATAGGTTCACTGTCGCCGACGCAAGGGATGCGGTGGTCTCGTTGTGTGCACATACGACACGAACCCACCAGAGGCGCCACGTAGAGTTGACCGACATCGTACCAGACATGGTGTGACCGGACAGCACCAAATCGTCGCTGCGTGCGCAGGCACACACATAGATGGATGGTGAGCACCTGTGTTATGTGACACCCACAGATGAGAGGAGTTCGCCGTGCACCTGTGTATGAGGACATCACAGAGGAATAGGGGAGTATTTGAAGGTGATCAGCAGTCGATGGGCGCCAGAGTCCGATGTTGCTGCAGCTCGTCAAGGAATTTGGCAGTATTGTTAGACTTTATTGTGGCTGAAATGAGCTGGATATCGTTGGGGGATACGATGCATGTACGGTGAGAGTGTGACGGTCGGCGTTGTCGGTACGGCCAGTCTGGTCGAACCGTGTCGAGACGTCATTTGCCACAGTCAGAGGGCTCGGATGCACCTTAGACGCGTAGTACCAGCTGGCGAGACTGAGAATCAAGATGACGGGGCATGGCAGCATGACATGGACAAAAAGCCACAGTGCGCGCGGTGCGAGCGCGAGGAGAAGCGCTTATCGGCTGCCTTTTCGGGACGAAATCGCCAGGAATTGATATTACGTAATAAGCAACGTGTCGCGCGCGCGATTCCGAGTTCAGATGCAAACGGCTGTAGACGGGCGATTGGATCTATTCGTTTTGAACAGGGCGGAGGCTTCCAGCGCGCGCGGCGTCCCAAAACACCGCTCTGCACCCGGTGTGGGTGACTGGCGCTGACTCGGGGATGCCGGGGGATCAGGGATGTCGCCGGTGGGTTCTAGCCGCTGCCTTGCCTCCGATCGTGCGCGGGAGTCTGTGGCATCTGCTGGGTAAGTGCTGGTGAGCTGGACGACACAGACGCGGCGGTCCGCGAGGGCAGGCGCAGGGAAGGCGGCGTAGTGTTCGCCGTCGATCGCAATGGGAGGGCGGGGATTGAGAGGGTGAGGCGCGCCCCGTGGCGAGGCCGAGCGCGAGGTCCTGTCTGCGTAACTTCCGCTTCTCGGGGCGACCTGTGAAGTGCGCCCCCGAAACGTCGCCGTCGCCGAGATACGGCCCTGCTCGGGCCTCGCGCGGCCGCCGATGTCGCATTAGCGCTCCCGCGCGCACCGTCGTCCAGCCGTCGTCGCGCAAAGTACGACATCCGTGTGCGGCGTGGTCATAGATCGCGCCACTGGCTGAGAGGAAGGGAAGGTTTCGGGACCGCTGGCTGTCGAGCCGGCAACTAGTCGTCGGAGTCTTGGGCGGCGCGAGGCCGGGAGGATCATGTGCGTTCCATAGGCTCCGTACTGTCGTATCGCCGGCGACAAAAGCGGTGGCGGGACGTGGCTGGTGTACATGCTGTCGTCGGGGCTGCGCTGGGTTTGGGAACGATGCCCGCCAGGGCTGGGGGTCCATGGGGAGGAATGACTTACGATTACGTCGGAGGATAATTACTTCAGCGTCCGGGGACATCGAACTGGAGCAACGAATTCGTACGGATGAGCACTGCTGAGGCGAGGAAGGCGACCGCTGGAGTCGACCGATTGCACGTCGAGGTGTCCGACAGCAGCCGGATTTGCGCCGCAAGCATGTGCTGCAGGTGCCACTGGGGGCGTCATGCGCACACGGACGGTGAGAAGGGGGACTAGGGCGGCGGACGGCGTCTGGGCTGCCAGCGTAGGAGGAGAAAGAGCGGGCGTCGGGATCCGCACGGCTACTAGTCTGTATAACCGGACAAACGCCCGATCTACTCCCCTGTTTCTCCCGACAGTCTCCGGTAGCGCCCGCGCCCTCAACTCCGCGAGTCCCCCGGAGGAGCGCCTTCCCTGGGCCTTCCATCACCCCGACCCGCATCCCAACTACCGCTCCTCCCTCCTAGCCGCGCACCCGAAGCGCCTGTCCACTCGCCTGGAGCTCCTGCACGACTTCACAGGTTCGCATGGCGCGCCATCTGCACGGATTATCCGATACGTCACATGGAGGTTTTTCGCGAAAATATGCACTCCATCCTGCCTAGACGGCCGGAGATGCCTCACAAAACAGTATGTAGACCGCATATACTCGTTAGAACTCCAATCGCTGACTCGCACCACGACGTCTGGCAGCATTTCCCCTCGGTGTCGCTGCTACCCCCGGCTCGTAAGACCTGTCTGATCATCCCTCAACATCATCAGCTACGACCATCGCCCCGTTCGTCGCCACTGTTTTCGCTACCAAATATTGCGTGAGTGGCTTCAGCTGCTTTGCGTCACTACCATCTATCCGCATCGTCTTCTGTCCACCTGTCCATCTTTGTGCAGTGGACAG